ATGACTGAGAGGTGGCCCAGAGAAGCCCCCAATAAAATTGTGGTGCTGATAGTAAAAATTATTAACTTTAAAATTATTCTATTTGCTGTTTCCTGGTGTCAAAAAATGTGTTTGTTTAGGAAACACAAACGTCCGTGAGCCCCTCTCCCCCTCTCGATTATCATAAAATGGTTCAGTCCGCCCAAATTGTATCCAGGCAACAGCTTGACTTCACTTATAGCGCCGGCAGAAGTGAAAATGCCTCAAAAATCTGGAAGCCAAAAACGGAAAGAGAAAAAAATAAGACAAGTGAAAGAGGCAAACGGTCGACAGTATGTTACCCAATATTTCAGAAGAAAAGGTGGGTTTGTAAGTAGGACTAAATTGTTAGTGGACCGCCCGTGTGACAATGATCGTAGCCTACGGTTTAAATATTTATTTACACAAATATTTAAACTAGTTTTAATGAAAATTCATGTAGTTTTAGGAAAAGTCAGGGAGCAGCAAGGCTTTGTGATTTATTTAGACAAAGTTATTGAATATGCAAATTTCAAAACGGTCAAAATGACGCCTTGTTCGTTCTAGTGTTAAAGATAATTACCGTAAGTTTAAATGTTGCGGTTAAAATGACTGCTGGTGGCCGTTCTAGTGTTAAAAGTGCATGATAAGGGAACTCAATTTTCTCCCCATGTTAGATCAAGAAAACGCTGGAAAAAATAACAATACACAGTTTTAGTTAAACGTTCAATGCAGTCACTATATAGAATACACTATATGACACATATACAGCTATGCACAGTATATACATTATACAGTACTGAAGTAGTGCAGTATTACAGAGGACAAATTACAGGTGTGGACATGGGATGGAGTTCAAATGTCTGATTGACTTAAATATATGAGAATGATAGTCAAAATACCATAAAAGCGCATGATTTTATGTAAATTAATATGAAAAAAGTCTCAGCTGTGTTGGGGGCCCTGTCAAGATTCTTTTCATGGGGCCCAAAATCCTTAGCAGCGCCCCTGGCCCTCAGAACAAAAAACTCCAATGAGCCGGTCGCGCAGGAGCTGATGGTTTGGGAATTTTGATTCTCGGGACGGCTGTGAGCCTGTGTAGTTGGCTTTGGGGAGGGGGAGGGTATAAAATCTGTCCTGCTCGTCCTTCTCCCTGCACTGACGTGATCATAATTCCTGCTCCCCAGTGTAGTGACTGTAATGACCGTTTATGGCCAGCAGGGGCACCCCTGTGGTTTAAGTGGTGGTAAACACTGTCTGAAGTTATATATATATATATATATATAGATAGATAGATAGATAGATAGATAGATAGATAGATAGATATCCATACCCTGAGGGCAGGATGCACTATTTTGTTAACTATGTCTAGTTAACTAAGTAGTTTGTGGCCCTACACTGCAAAGAAGACGGGTGGGTAAGGCCTCCCACATTATCGGGGGCCGGCCAACTGGTTAACTGCTCTCTGTAGGGTTGGCTGACACCAACGACGAATGTGTTATTTAAAAAGAGCGTCATCTAAAAGGGGCTTGCTGACATGCTTCTGCTGGCTGGCTTTGGCTCCTCAGAACACTGGTACAGTGACATCCGGGGAATTCCGTGCCCTTCTGCGCTGATCTTGGGGACGTTCGTTAGGGATCCCGGGAAGAACAGGCCCCCACCAGCGGAAAGGTTGGGGGAGGCAGGTGATAGGAACTCCCCCCAACCCCCCCAGGCCCGGTGTTTGTGCCCGGCGTGTCACCGTCGGCAGGATGCCTGCTGCACTGGCGTCTCCGTGTCGGCATGTCCCACTGGGCCCACTCCTACAGGAAACTGGTTTCAGCCGGAACAGGGAGGCAGTTAATGTCACCAGAAAAACGCCGACTTGGTTCATCCTGAGGAAGAGCTGGAACGTTAAAATGAAAAAGAGGAGCAATGCCAGGAGCTTCTCCAGCACCTCCACTGAGCCAAATTATACAATTATACGACATTCTAGAAAACACACACCTTTGATTTTGGTTATTTGTTACAGGAATTATGTGACGGTGCCTTGGTGTTTTCACCTGTTAAGCAGTTCAGCCAGCGGGCTGCTTTCCCTGTGATCCTCATGTAAGCTGACACTGAGCAGTCACTCGCATACATTTTCTCTAATAACTTCCTCAATTTGTCCATCGCTACGGCAACAGGCACATCTGGCGTTTCTGCTGGCGCTGCTTGCCGGATAACCGAATTCCCGGCTCTTGCCGCGCCATCCGTGTCAGAGCTGAACTGGAGGGTGGAGCTTCCCGTGTTGTTGAGGATCAGGGAGCGGGCAGTAGACGTGTCTTTATGGGACTGTGCTTTTAGCGATGGCCTGCCGCTGCCATGAATGACCCTACTGAGTGACAGAGTGACTTTGGAGGTGTGCAGGCTGTTGGGGTAACCGATTGTGTGAACAGAGATTTTGTTCCTATGGATTCCGGAGCTTGGACCTGTAATTTCCATCAGAGGGGTAAGAATGCCAGGTCTTCGGGTCCCTGCTTTTGTATTCTGTGCTGTGTTCAGGTTCCCACCTTCACCTGACCTACTGTGTTAAGGTTTCCACCTATGCCTGCTGTGTTGCGACCAGGTTTCTGCCTTTGCCTGCTGTACAGGGTTCAGGTTCCTGCCTTCATCTGTTGGGCTGTCTTCAGATTCCCATCTTCGCCTGCTATGCCGTGTTCAAGTTCCCGCCTTCACTTGCTATTCAGGGTTCAGGTTCCCGCCTCCGCTTGTTGTTCAGGGTTCAGGCTCCTGATTTCTTCCACTGTGTCATTGTCAGGCTCCTGCCTTCACCTGCTCTGCCATGTTCTGGTTCCCAGCTGATGTGTGTCGAGGTTCCCTTAGCCTGTTGAGTTCAGGTGGCTATGTTCCCTTCAGCAGTCCTTACGGATCTTGTTGTTGTTGCCGCTGCTGTCGTCACTGGTGTTTCGCCCGGAGGTTTATCACAACGACGGCAATAAACAGATTAACCCAAGGTGACTTGAGATGTTTGAGTGTGATTGATCGGTGAGGGTTGGCCGCAGGCTTTCGCTCATCTTCTCCGGGCTTTTTGTGTGATGCTGCTAAATTAAACACTCACGGCCTGATGGTAGCTGTTCTCGTAACAACTGTTAATAGGCAGAGCCACCATATGTGATGCTGTGCTCTTCACAGAGGAATGAAACTCTACACCTTCTGCTTCTACCTGGCTCACTGGTTATGTCACATAACACAGTCGCGTCTCCTCTAAACTGTAACCTTGACAGAAATATTCAGCTCAGGACACATCTGCTAAGCTGGAGCTTATCAATGTCGTGAAATGCCCACCAAGAGAAGCCCCGTCACTTCTTATTAGTGTTTTCTGCGGGCACCAGCTGTTCCATCAGGTCGGACGCCAGTGTGGACGACCTTGATTCCTGCTGACTTTTCTCTGGGTTTTTATGCTTTTTCCTGTATTTGGTTGCCTGATATTTAATACGCCTGGTCTCCTGATAGGTATTCTTCATTAACGGTTCATTTATTTGCTAGTCACTCCTATCCTGAGCAGCGTCGTGATCTAGAGCAGCGGTCACTCGAGGCTGCCAGGTCTCGTGACCCGGAAAGCCACCGGATTTGCCCACTAATGACTCATACTGGGAACAGGACCCAGAAGTCTGGAGATTCAAGATGCTGTCTGAATATTGAACTGGACAACCAGCCTAGATCTGGCTGAAAAATCAGACATCCTAAATGGATTACCTACATGTCTGCTGAACATTACATGTGTCTGTGTATTATGTGTCCATAATCAGGGGTGAACTGATATGGAGATCAGAACCTGTTTTTGTCCTGAATCAGATCCCACCTTCTCTCAGCTAGCAATAGATTTGCAGTCCCTGGTGTTACAGGGCATCTAAAAGATGAGTCTCTTTGTGCACCTCATACCCAATTTTTTACGACTTTTGCCAATAAAATCATTTATATTCAACGATCCACAGAATGATAACTTTTCGTGTGTAACATCCTTATTTGGTCAAGATTTTAACATTTTGTGGGTTTTTTTTGACACCATGACTCCGCCCCCTCAGACAGAGGACCTGATAGAGCAGCATTTTGGTGTCATGCGTGTATTTAAAATAGTCACAGAGGCCCTAGACATACTGCCGAGAAACTGTTGTGGAAGAGTTGGATGAAAACATTAGGCAAACGGGTGCAGGCCATGACCTTTCCCCTCCTAGCCTGTCCAGCCACGATCAAACAGATCTCAACAAAAAAATATAATCCTGCCTTTAAAGCTTATGGGAGGACGTCAGGTGGCCCCTAACTAAAGAGGCTGTCTGTAGGCAGTCGCCATGGTCAGATGTAGGTCAGCCGCTTATGTTAACCTTGCAACTGAGACTGATGGACGGAACTGAATTAAGACGTTATCCTTGTTGGCCTGTCATGTGTTTCATCCTCAGAACAAGGCCTAAATTAACCTGTGTTTTTGCTCCTCAGAAATCCCTGTTCGTTTTAAATTGGCACATTAGTTGTACATTAGATTAGTAATTAAGTAATTAAGCTAATTGAGGTACTAATGAAGACTCGGAGAGCTTTGTCGTTTGTCGTTAAACCTTTGTGTCCTCAGGCTGGTTTCATTCTACTTTTCCCCTCGAGTGCAGGACACAGAGCCGCACACGGCAAACTTTTAACTCGAAGGACTTTTCTGTGTCCTTGAAGGTGACGGTTACGCTCTGTGCTTTCGGACGCGCCCGCCTCGGGGGGGGTGTGAGCACCGCAAGGCACGGGTTGTGACACAGACCCCAGTGCCGGGGGGTTAGTTGTTTGTACGCGAGAGTCTGGACAGCAGGGGGTGGGTGGAGATGTTAAGATGGAGAATCCCTTCAGAAAGCAGGCCCCCTTTGTGAAGCAGATCCTGTTGATCTCCTGTTTTCTTCGGGTTTTGTTTCTATCTTGTCAAAATTCCAGCTTCTTTGATGCATGTGGAGTCACAGCGTGCAGAGCCGCGGCTCTAATATTTCATCTTCTGCTTCCTCTTGTTCTAGGTCCTCCTCTGCCCCTGGAGGGTGTCAGAATAGACAGAGAGGGTGTCATTCATCTGACAGAGCCCCCCCGCCCCCCCCCCGACGCTGTCACGGGACGTATCAAGACGGCCTGGATGATCATCTAACCGCTGCTGAAAGAAGAGGGCTTGGAGTGAAGACCACCCTCCCTGCCTCCAAGGATGGAGAAGGCGTGCCCCTGAGAGTCGTGACCCACACCTGACTTCTTCCGCCGTTCTGTCTGGGATAAGACACGCACCCCGCTCCCCGTGACCGGCGGCCCACCCTGAAGGCCGGACAGGTTTCGCCTGTGAGCTGGTGTGATTTTTCTAAGCCCCGCCTGACGGCTCGAGCGATCCTGACGTCGAACATGACTCATGGGGGGGAGCCTGGCTCAGAGACGCACCAGGATTCAGCTGTTCTAACGTATCTGGAAGGTTTACTGATGCATCAGGTGGCTGGCCGGCCGAGCGGTGCCGTGGCTGCGCAAAGGCCTGAGGGCAGGCCTGGCGGCCAGGATCAGGCCGACGGGGCGGCCAGGGCCCCGCCACCCCCCCATAGCCCCGCCCAGCAGGATAAGAGGCCATCTCCCGGGGGGCCTCCGCGGCACTTCAAGAAGGCCCGGCTGCTCCGGTCTGAGGCCTGGAGGGAACCGGAAGGTCAAGCACTGCGGGTTCCCACCGGGGGCACCAATGAGCAGGGTATGGCCCCCAGGGGTGGGGCGGCAGACAGCTCCGCTCAGGGGGAGAGCACTTTGCTGGCCTCGCTGTTGCAGTCCTTTGGCTCACGGCTTCATGGCGCTGCCGTTACACAGCAGGTCACGCGGGACCTGAAAGAATCGGAGCCCAAGCAGGACCTGAAGGAGCCGGAGCTTAAAGAGCCGGAATCAAAACAGCCAGATGCCAAGCATCAGGAGCCTCAGGCGAACAAGGAGGACCCCCGCTGCTGTGGGACAGCGTCTGGTCGCCTGAAGAGTCTGATGAGGAGGAGCCGAACACAGAACCATGGCGATGTGCCTTACCGCCGGCGGACAGCCCATGAGAGTCCGCCGCAGGACACCCCGCGCCTCCCCAGCTCTGACTCCTGCGCCACGCGCCTGAAAGCTGTGGCTGGTCTGGCAAAGGTCCGGTCCAGCCCAGCATCCTCGCCCAGGCCGAGTGTGGCCTGTAGTCAGCTGGCCCTGCTGCTGTCCAGCGAGGCGCACCTCCAGCAGTACTCCCGGGAGCAGGCCATGAAGGCCCAGCTGTCCAGCCGGGCGGCCAGTGAGCGGCTCGCCGCCATGGCCACTCAGAAGGATAAGCACGGGCAGCCTCGGCTGACCCCAGATGCCGTAAGCTCCTTAAATGCCCAACACAGAACACACCCTCATCTGCCCCTAGACTCCCATAAACAAAATCCATCCCCGGTTCCAGGACAGAGCCGGCTTCATGGCTCTCCCCAGAATTCCCTCACTGCCCGAGACAAGCGTCCTCTGAGCAAGCATAGTGCCAGGCCCTCGCAGACCTGCAGCAGCTTGCTTTTGCTTCTTCTGAACAACCACAACAGCAGCAATGGCCACCCAGAGAGAGAAGACAGCACCCTTCCTGTCCAAAGATCCCCACTGCCGTCAGATGGAGAGTTTTCCAACCAGGAGAATGGCCACGCTAAGGAGAACAGTGACGCAGAGAGCTCCTACTCCTGCTGTTCTCCTATCGACCTCTCTGTCAAGAGCAGGAGCACTGGGCCTGTGCTTGGCTCATCCTCTTCCTCCTCTCTGGACAAGCTCACAGAGTCCTTGATAAAGAAGTGGAAGCCGGAGACGCCGGGGTCAGAGACGGAGGAGCTTAAAATGAGGCGAGAGGTGAAATCCCCACAGAAAGTCACGCTCCTGCAATTACTGCAGGATCATAAGAATGCAGAGCGGCCAAGCAGAATCACAGAGCATCCTTCAGAGTTTCAGCGTGACGTAATTCCTAAGCTCAGCAACGTGCCTAAAGGACGGTTTACGCCAACGACTCTCAGCGAGCGGTCGGTGACACAGAGTCCTGCCAATGGGATGCCTGATAAGAACTTTCAGTCCTCGTCCACATTTCCCAGTGGGCAAGACTCCAGTGGCGCTGTGTCTCCATACCGCCTTTATGCTTCTCCTCATATTCAGTCTACCCCCCTGGACTTGTGTAAGTCCAAGTCCCACCCAAGCGAAAGTGTCCAAGAGCCCGCTTTTAGTGCCAGTAAACTTCTGCAGAACTTAGCGCAGTGCGGAGTGCAGAATGCTGCCCCTTCACCACCACATGGCGCTCCTATGCCCCCCAGTAAAAGGTTGTGTAGGGGACTGGAAATCAAAGCGGATAAGACTCTACCGGAAAGACTTCCTGCGCCAGTTCAGCAGAACCAGTCCCCCATGTTAGATGGGCCCCAGGAGAACCATAGACCTCACATGCGGGGCCTGTCTTCGCCTGTGTCAGAGATCGAGAATCTTCTTGAGAGGAGAACGGTCTTACAGCTTCTCCTAGGAAACAGCACCAGCAAAGACAAACCAGGCAGCAAGGTTAGCAGAGAGTTTTTGACAGACTCTTATGAAAAGCAGTCTGAAAAAGTCACTACCTGTGATCGCTTCAATGGACCTTCCCCGGATGTAAAGATCAAAGTTGAGCCAGAAGATGAAGGTCAACTATCTGATGATGCTAGAGGGGTTGAGAGGTCCTGTAATGAGAATGCCAGGCGTTGCCTAGACTCTGTTCCGCCGCAGGACGTCAAATCCGAGCCAGCTCCTACCGAGACTGTCCCCAAGGATGGTCTCCTCAGCCAGCTCTTAAAACAGCAGCCAAGAAACCACCAAGCAAATGCACAAGCAGATGTCAGTGTGGGGAATGCAAACGAGGAGCGGCAGGAGCATCAAGGACTTGTAATCCCTAAGAAACGGAGGATCTGCTTGGAGTTGGAGAGTCGCTTGAGCAACGATCCCACCCAAATGTCAGCGGGCAAAGCCACCCAAAAAGGTACTGCTGCCACGGGTGACCGCCCGGCTTCTAGGATGCCAGAGTGGAGTAGCGTCAGACAGACGAAAAACCCGCAGCTAGCTGATCTTCCTGCCAGTTGTCTTGGTAGCGAATCCCCACCAAAAGGTGGGCGGACCTTCAATGTGTTGAAGCAGCTGCTGCTCTCGGACAACTGCCTGAGGGACTTAGCTCAGCCTGGGGGCACCTCCAGCCCCCCCGCCTTGTTGACCCACTGCAAGACCAATGGGAGTATGTCACTGGGTCTTTCTCACGATTCTAGCAGCTCAAAGTGGAACCTTGGTGTGCCGGGGCTGGGACCTTCTGAACTCAAAGGAACAATTCTTGATTCACCTTGGGGCTACCCAGGTGCACGCCAGGAAAAAACAAACCCTGTTCCCTTTAACAAAGAGAGCGAGGGACCCATTCAGGGGGTGATTAGCAGGAAAGATAAACAGGACTCGGACTTTGACTCCCCAAGACTTACAAAGTCTAACCCCATCTTGTACTACATGCTTCAGAAGGGCAATGCTCATCTCGCGAGAGAGGTACGAGACCTCGGGGCAGAGGAGCATCATGAGGTTCAGGTAAAGGATGAATCTGAGGTGGATGTGAAAGACTATGACCACAAACTGAACTTAAAATGTCACCTGAAGCCACACGACGAACAGCGAGGAGAAGAAGGCGGGCAGCTCAATGGGTCTCTGGAGAAATGCTGACTCTTCAGCACAAGGGCATGCGATTTAACTACTCGGGACTTGAAGGTCCCGGTGTCTTTGGGTTTTGTAATGCGTTTGCTTTGCTTACTAGTTTTGTTTAAGCATGTTTAAGATGGGAGTATGTTTGGGTCAGTTAAGTGCATCGCAAATGCGACTAACAGAATTAACACAAACCTGAATGATTGTTTTGTTTGTAGTATTTTAACCTATTTATAATCTGCATCTTGGTTCCTGTTTTGAAAACCAGAGATGTCTGGTGGGGTTAAAATGAAAAGATTTATGCACAAAATAAAATAATTATGGGAAAACTCACCCACACTAGATGAGTTCAGAAACATCCACGCAGAGGCTTTGAAATGATCCTAGCCTTATGAGGTTATTTGTAAAAGGGCCCCTACATCACATTGTACTTTTCTGAGCCTGTTAATACTTTGAAAAGACCGAAAAGTCAGTGCTACTTCAGTCAGTCCAGTCTTTATCCCCTCATGTTCATCCAGGGATTTACTCTACAAATAGGTTCTGTGCAGATACTGGAAATTAAATATTCTCTGAAACCTCGGGAATTTGAGAGTAACCTGGGGAAGTAGGATCTAACGTCAAATCAGGGATACGCTAATGCTACCCAGCCTCGTCGTTCACCTTAGCAGCTCACAAAAAGACACGTATCACCGATACACGCTCTGAGAGCCTTTTCTGCAGAAGGATCCATGTGGGTCTTTGTCTGAACAGAGAGGGTCTCTAAATGTTGGTATTTAGCAGAGCTAGGTGTCAGCTAAAGGTCAGTCCACGAAGAAGCAGCCAGTTCCCGTACACAGAGCTTCATTTGGGCCTTCACGTTGGAGATTTATCTTATGGTGTTGTGAGTTTTCCCCACAGTTACGGGAGAGATTTATGTTTCGATGTCGTGATGAGCTGGTCTTAGAAGATGTTATGTACGGCTTTCGTTGATACTTCGGTGATGTTTTTTTGCTGTGTATATTGAAATTCAGCAGTGCCAAATCTTGAAAAATGTAACGTTAATGTATTTGTGAGGAAGAGATATGGGGATTGAGATGTGAGTTGTTGGGTCGTATCATAGCAGAACTGCTTTTAGGTCCATTTTCGACAGAAAACATCAAATCAATGTCAGGCCTGAGATTAGAGAATGCCTGTTTCTGGGAAAATAGGGAAATACAAATATACCATCACCACCTGGTATGGTTAGATGTCTAATATCTTGTTACGTCCGGAAGGTTCTGCGAAGATGTGAAACTGATTAAGGCTGGGACCACTTCTGAAGAGCGGACCCCTGTACTGGGCTCATGGGCTTGGGACTGGAGTGGAGAGCAGCAGCTCGACCAGAACCTTCTCTTTATTCCTGAGCAAATGCTTTAATTATATATGTTATATATGCTTAACTTATATACGTTTCGCCAATATGCACAGCAGGATGATTCACAGAAGCAGTTTGCCCTACTAACAAGTATCACAGCAGGATTAATCCTAACGTTAATCCTGAGTCTGAACCCTTAACCTATTAGCTACGAGGTCCGTTTGTACGAGGTCCGTTTGTAAAGGCACTAGGCGACCGCCTGCCCTGGCTGTGATTACTGTTTATCGGATCAGTGTTTTTCCAGTGTAGAATCGAAGAAGCATGTTGATCAGACTGTCCTGTCATGAACATGACATTTTAAAAGATTTCAGTGTGACATATGTATATTTTTTCAGTATTAATGTACATGTCCTCTATTTACAGTCGATGTTTCGATGAGTGGTTTAAAACGTATGTAAATAGGTCTTTCGTTAAAAAAAAACAAAACTATTTTGTACCGTTCACAAAAAAAAAAAAGACGACATACCGATTTTCAATTCTGAAAACGAATGTAAATTCTGTGTCATAATGTACATAACAAGAAAGAGGTGGAAATGCTTATTTTGCATGTGTCTCTGTTGTAAGTTTATGATAATCCTTGTTCTGGGGTGGGGGGAAAAAAGTCTGGTGCTCCACAGTGGGGCCTGTTGCATGTACATGCATGTAGGTTCGATGAAGAAAACAGCACTGAATGTGGGAATATATAAAAAAGTAACAAAGTCTTAAGCAGCCTTCATTCCCATCAATGGCCATCGCCAGCAGTGGGTGAATCTACAGGCCAGTACGGAAAGCGCGTCACATGTGCTGTTGCTGTTGTCCAGACCAGACCTGTCTCTCCGCCCGGTTGACTTCTGCCCTTCATCTCCCGGGGGGGCGGCCTCAGACAGACGTTAAACCGTCCGACTTTTCTGCGGCATCCCCATGCACATTACCTGTATCCTGTATTCTTTTCTTTATGTTCTCATTTGTTGGTGTTTACCTGCACAGATTTTAAATAAAGTAATGAAATGCACAATTTGAAAATGGCCTGACCTGCCTGCTTTAGTTCGTCGTCACAAAATTGTCATATATATTATTGTTATTCTTATACTATGGTAAACCTGATCAGACCTTCTCTCTCTCTCTCTATCTCGGAGGCAGTCCAAGTGTCCCCCCCCCCCAAAAAAAGAAAAAAAACGTGTCTGGCAAGGAGCTCATAGGGAACAGAACCATAGACCGACTGTGGTTCCCCAAAGACCGGATTGGGAAACACTGCTCTAACTGTAGAAACTACCTGTCCAGCATGAGATTCTGATGCACGGGCTGAATAGAGACTTCCTTTGTCTTCTTTCCCAGGGGTTTGGGGGGGGGCGGGGGTTCCATCGAAAGATCCTCTCCTGGGCGCGGTGGGTGGGCGCTCTGGGGCAGGGAGCACGACCCAAGCCTGGCCCAGGAACAGCAGCTGTCCTGCATTCCTTCGAAAGCTTTAAGCTGCGACCTTAATTCCCACCGGCTGCGGTGATCTGAGGGGGGTGGGGGGGCTTTCACAGTCATTATATCGGCGTGTCGTTGCGGGAAATGTGAGGGTAAACATTCTCAAAAAAAGCAAAAAACAACAAAACAGTAAAAACACAGGTACAGATGCACACATCGTACTGGGATTAAGATGTTTCTGCAATCAGTTTAACTGGTACAATCCTTTCTCTCAAAGCCATTAAATGCTTATCAATGGCATTGGATAACTATATGTAACATTAGCCACTAAAAGTTAAGCATAAAGCTGCTTCCGGGGAAGATGCAGCACTGCAGGGATGCTCGACCCAGGACCTCAAGGAGACCCTGGTGATCAGGTTTCAGCTCAACTCCTTTTCTTAATTCCCTTTCTTAGCGTTATTAAATAAATGCAAAGCATTTAACCTCTGGGGTGCTTCCTGTCAGTCAACTGCCAATTAAGTAGCAGCATTTAACTAATATTTCAGAAATATTCTGAATATTACTGAAATACTACATGAAACACCCATCTGAAAGCTGATTGGCCCTTGGAGTGCCCCCTCCCGTGTCCAGTGCTGCATTAATGAGTTCAGGGGCCCCTAGGCTACACTTTCCGTAGGCCTCTCTTCTGCCCCCACTTCCCGAAACAATACATTTAACTATAAAACCATTGAATATTGGTACTGTAACTATAAAACAATTTGCACAAAGTAAAAGAGAGTGTGACGCTCTATCAAACGACAACAATCGCGTCATAAGAAAAACAACCGGCAAGCTTTTACAAGTTATATGTAGCAGCCATAAGCACACCAGAAAATACACGACGACATAAAACGAGCACCAAAAAGGAGATGCATTTAAGAAATGGGGCCTGTACTACGACGCGGGGTTACTGGCTTACCGGGGTAACTTGTCAGATTTAAGGTAGTCTGGACAAAATGTAAGTGAACGAATATGAAGTCCATTTAAACTGTGGTACCTTAAATCCGACAAGTTACCCCGATAAGCCAGTAACCCCGCTTCGTAGTACAGGCCACTGGTCTCCCCATTCGGTTTTAACCAATCACCAACTCGCAATCAAACGACCAATAAAAGATCATTAAAAAAATTGTAATAAAATAATATTAGACAGCCAATAGGGCCCCCCGATCACTCTGGGCCCCTAGGCTGTACCCTATGTTAGCCTATTCATTAGCCCACTCTGTCCCTGTCACTCACTGACTTAAAACATCATTTGTTAATGATAAAATTAGCCTCTCTGCATGAATTATGGCACCTCTTATACACCCCATACCTTAAAAAATTCTAGAATCGCCACTGATCATTTAACAAAACTGCAGAAGTGTAGCGGAAACCCGCAGAATGACTTCTCACAATATGTAACAGCTATTTAGCATCTCGTGCGTTTCTCAAGGAAAAAGGACGCTGGCGGCAGAGAGAGTCAAGCAGAGATGGCTCTGCGAGCGGTCTGTGGAGAGCTGAGCCCGCGTCCTCCACTTCATCCTGCCGGTTGGCATGGAAACTGGGTTTTTTCTGTACATCTTAACGTGGTTACCGGCAAAAATGTAGGCAGCGTTTTGCTAAACCCCACCGGACTATATCAGATAATCTTTAAAGGTAAAAGCATGGCAGCGCTGTGGAACCCAAAAGTGCGGGTCACCCATAATCTGGTATCACGCGCCCACGGACTGGCCATGGGGAGGCGCTGTTACACAAAGCCTGGTTCAGGTGGCTAGGAGGCTCAGATAATTAAAGCTGGATGAGTCTTTAAGCTTCACAGTTGACCTGGGATGCCTCAGATCTCCTCTCCGCCTGGGCCGTGAGTAAAGATGGATACTGCGGGCCTACCAAAAAAGGTTGATGTTCTCCGGTGACCCACTTCCGAAAGACTAGCTCAGCACTATGTCATTGGTCGCTGTCCAGCGATCATTTCCTGCCTGTGTCCAAATTCAAGGGCTGCATCCTACAAAGGACGGCGTCCATGATGGTGTAACCTACAAAGGTCTGCACAATGACTCTTAGGATATGTTGGGCATCTCTTGACTGCATTTCCAGGAGCCTTCGAAGTGGGACAGCCTTGTCACACCTCTGTGATACATTTGGTCTTCGAAGGCAGCCTTAGAAGGATGCGGCCCCTGAATTTGGACACAGTCCCTGATTTTTCTGTTTCTGGATTGTTCCCGCTGATTTGGATTTCCCTTCTAAAAGTTACTCAAGTAACCATGGAGCTTTTGTTATGTCATCAATGCTGGAAACGGAATAAATTTGATCTGCCTGCCTGATGGGTTTTTCTAAGTCCTTTCTAAGTCCATTCCTGTACTTGTGCGGTTTCTGGTTGAAACCAAACACATGTTACTCATGTGATTCATGTGTCCGCCTAGTGCAGTGGTCTTCACTGCTTGGCCTGCGGGACACTGCTAGTGCAGTGGTCTTCACTGCTTGGCCTGCGGGACACTGGCGGCCTCCAGAGGCCTGTGTGGCAGCCTATAACCAAATAAAAAAATAAGCATATCATTCTGACCATCAGATTTATTATTATTATTTTTTTTTTAATCTAGATGCAACACAACTTCCCCAATAATGTGCAGCTATGTAGTTAACTAACAATCGAGTGAGGCAGCATCAAGATGACTTCTGGCTAGCCAGCTGTACACTGGTAAGCGTGGCAGTGAATAACACTGCTCCAGTGTGTGTGTTTCCTGGATCACAGCAGCCCTGATTGGATAAATAGTTGCCAAAAACTGATTGACACCCCAGGGTGAGTATCTTGATTTAATGTCATCATAAAGTAATATGAAGGATTATTCATAAAGGCTCATTTTCATGACCCCCCCCCCACCACCCTCCCCTTCGGTTCCAGTTGACCGTTAGCGACCGCCCGGTAAACAAAACCGGGCCTGTGTGGACCGGGGTAACGTGAGCTGGCAGCACTGTGAGCCCCTCCCCCATTCACTCACTCACTCACTCACACGCACGCGATCCGGCCCCCGCTTTGATCATCTGAAGCTCAGCCTTCCTCTAAACTCCATGTAACCTTTCGTCTTTGCGGTCATGAATATTTAAGCTCAAACCTCCAGGTTTCATCTCCCACGGCTGCAGAGACGAGGAGGAGGGCAGCGCCGGGGAACGAGTCACAGGCCCTAACCGATGGCCCAAGAATGAGCAGGGAGGCCTGACAGAGAAAGCAGGTCCTCGTGATAAATAAAAAGTAAACAAAACGCTTGATCAAGCTACAAAAACATCTGCCTGAAGTCCAGCCTCAGCCTCTAGCCCTAAAACTGCCTAAAAACCCACTTTTTTGGGGCTGTTTATTCACCCGTCACTGCCAACTCCTCACGCTGACATGAGGTCGCATTCTAACCCGACCTGAAACGAACAGAGTTTTGGTTTTCAGCCACAGACCTCAGCCTGCGCAGGTGTGTTTGCCGGGATACCAACCCCGTCCCCGAACATACGAGGAGAGGCACGCTTTGCACAAACGAAAGCTGCGTGACACTTATCGACACCCTGGATCTTTATCGCAGTCTTCTTCAAAGTCGCTTCGCTCGTTTGGGCTCTGGGATCGACGTCAGAGCGTGACCATCCTCCCACACTGGGGATTTTCACAATGACAAACCCATCCCTGGTGTCACTTCAGGGCAAACCTTTCGCAAGAGTCTCCACATTCGATGCGGTTTCGCATGTCGGCGACCAACGTGCACGACGTTGGATGTGTTAACGAGGCCGGGGGGGGGGAGGGGAGCGCTTCAGAAAATGTGTGCTGGGTAACTGTGGCTGCCCTCTTCGAAGTGGGCCGTTCTGTCGGGCGGGGGCCACTTTCGGCCATTATGTACAATCGGCTGAGTAAGCAGCCTGGCTTTTTTAGGAACCAGACGCTGAAGGTCACTGATGAGGAACACATGCGGGGAAACAGCCCCGTTCAGGGTCCTGAAACCATCAAAGCGTAAAGCGGGTCAAGCAACCGGATCAGAGCTCCGTTTTATATATTTATTTCTTTTTCTGGCACCTTCTGTATTTCTCTGGAGTCTCTGCGTCTCTGGGTATTGCAGTCCCAGGTCATGAGGTCACAGCTTTTGCCCCCCCTGCTCTGGCCTCAGCCTCAGGAACGCCACTCATTCTTACCGGCACGGATTGAATGTCGACCAGCAGCACTGAACCCAAAGCGCAGAGAGCCGTGCGGGATGGGGGCTGGTTTTGCATTGTACAGTAAACAGCTTTTATGCCAAACATGTCCATTGGCAAAAGGTAACACTAACGGGGAAATCCGGGTAAGACGGAAAAGTGCAGGCTAAAATTTCCTTAAATATGTTTTCATTGTATGATTTTTTTTATATCTGGAGTGAATGTTTTTTTTTTCCCCTGAAGGGCCTGAATATGAGCTGGGAAAAATAAGCAAAAACAGATTAAGTGTTTCGGTTAGGGAATGGCTGTCAGGAATATAAAGGTCTGTGTGTCCGGGTTGGTGGGGGGGGGCTGCTCCTGAGTCAGCAGGGTGCAATGACCTGCCTCTGTGGATGGGGTCTCCTTGTTCTAACGCGTGTCACCAGAGGTCA